AGTCCACAGAAGTAGAATGGGAGGCAGAGCCTTTAGCTATCAAGCTCCTCTCCTATGGAACCAACTCCCAGTCTCAGTTCGGGAGGCAGACACCCTCTCTACCTTTAAGATTAGACTTAAGACGTTCCTTTTTGATAAAGCTTATAGTTAGGGCTGGATCAGGTGACCCCGGGCCTTCCCTTAGTTATGCTGCTATGGGCCTAGACTGCTGGGGCCCATGATGCTCTGAGTTTCTCTCTTCTCTCTCTCTCTATCCATCTAAGTACAGTATAACCTATATATTGTATGTAGCATCTCATTTCTTATTTTGTCATATTTATTATTCAAAATAAATCTAACTATTTGTCCCTTCAGACTGTTACTTATCCTGCAATATTATGAATTTCAACCAGTCAACTCAAAGTCATAAACAGTATAGCGGTACTGCTATATCGTATGTCTACATTAACTTCCAACAACCACTTGGCTTTTGCCTAATCAGGGACATACTCTTTCAATAAGTGTTTGTTTTGGTTGTTGTGCTGTGTGGGAACTCTGTGTAAAAAATATTGGCATAAAATACTGGTTAGTCACAGCCCTCATCCAAATCACACGGACAGCAGGACTGTGTCGATTAGCAGTCACACAATCTACAAACTGTAAGGGTATCCCAGTCTGGATGGTACAGTAACTATCTTACCAGTAGGGGGTTCCTATAAAAGACTTCCTTTTGGCCGCCGAGGCACTGATCTCTGCTGCCACTCCAAAATCAGCTAGACATAGAAGCAACAGACAGGGTCAGACCGGGGCTGACAGCAGTTGAAATCCAATATAAATGGCCTGCTTAGGCCTAGCTGAAGAATGTGACTGGTTAAACAGGTATCACAGATGTTCATGTGTGTGTGTGTGTGTGTCACTGCTGACCCAATTTCACATCTCCTCGCTCCGTCAAAAGGATGTTGGCCCCCTGCAGAGAGAGAACACCCACACTCATGTAAGCATCTGCTCATCTGAAAACCCGATAGCTGCACAATAATGTATGATCACAGTTATAAAGTAACTTGATAAAGAAAAATAAATGCGGTACCTTAATGTCTCTATGCATTTTGCCCGTTTCGTGCAGGTGATACAGTCCCTGGAAAAAAAAACCCTGTGTAAAACAGCTATACTTTGTTTATTTATATCTGGTTTGTCAGCCACTATACAGGTGAAAAGAATGGGCACATTAACCTGTTATTAGGTCTGGGGGCAACAAATACTTGTTGGGCCCCTTTTAGCCACCTCTACCTCCCGACACTCAGGAACCAACCACTACTCTTGTGTTGGAATACGACTTTGTCCCAGGACTTTTGTGTGCCAGTTATTTTCAGGTAATTTGACTGAAGATGCAAAAAAATGAATAGACAGTACATTACTGCCATGAAAAGTGCTGGTCAGATTTTTACATCATTGTCTGCAATGGCCCATCACAACCACAGATTTCAAAGGGAGCTACCTCAGAATACAATCTCTGAAGGTTACCAGATTTAGACTGTCTTAGTCTTGTACGACCAAACATGACATCTGTGTTTAAAACTGAACCCAAGTGGTACAAATTCCCCAACATCAAAACAATGTTCAACCTGCTGACACACAGTGGGGACTTCAGGAAAAAGAAAACACTGGCTGGTAATCCAGGGCATAAAGGTACCTACACGATCTATACCAACTCATATAGATGACTTCAGCATAAATACACATATTATTATAAAAATAAAAACAGGGATACAAATTACAGTAGTCATCTTAACAGTAAAAACTGTTTAAGTACTCTATTTGTATTATAGTACTACTGTATCAGTACTACAGGCCTAATAGCAGCATGCTCAACACTAATATTGGAATAGAGGTTGTACTAGAAAATTAAACAGAGCAGTGTAACTACATTTACTGAACTACTGTATTTAATACAATTTTGAGGTACTTACACTCACACTGAAGTATTTCCTTTAGTAGAATACTTACATTTCAGAGAAAAAATATTGCTATTTTTACTGCAGTATATTTTTTGTACAGCTATAGTTACATTGTAGATTACTTCATTCTGCATTTTAAAAACAGATATCATGGTATAAAATATGTTAGAAATTCAACCGCATAATAGATTAGCTCTGGCTTCACCTTCTAATTATCAAGTTATTAGTAAATATGATTATATATTCAATTATTAAACTGCTGGCATGTTTAGACATCAGTAATAATAATAATAATCCTATGACTATATCATATAACTCTGACAGGGGTCATATTGCTGCATGCATTTTTACTTCAAATAATCAAAGTACATTTTGCTGATAATATTTATATACTTTTAATTAAGTAACATTTTGAATGCAAGACTTTGACTTCTAATATTTTACAGGGTGGCCAAGATCTGAATATGCTTTCCACCGCTGAGAAAGAGTAGTAGTAGTAGTAGTAGTAGTAGCAATGGTGGAGATAGTACTGCTTGTACTGTAGTAGGACCGGTAACTCTCAGAACAGCATGACGACAACAACACAGCTCTATGGGTGAGCTGCACCAACAAGGATTAGCTTTAAAATGTAAGTATGATTTGCCTTTAACCATTTACATTAAATCATTCCACTTTGATTCTGGATTAGTTATGCTATTTAGTATTTTATTTCAGATTAACCTCATGTAGCTATGGTTGTATTATTTTACTATTATTATTATTTGCTGCTGAAGTCAGTGATCAGTCATTTCTTTTATATTCAAGTTATATTTTAGTTATAATAGACCATTGTTTTATTAAAAAGATAACAACAAATTAAAATCTGGTTTTACCGTGTTAAAGACAAGACACAAAGTCCCTAAATTTAAATTATTAAAGTATACTGGCACCCACTTCACAACAAAATCAAACCTTAAATAAAAAGGTACACCTGAAACAGAAGGAACTGAATTTCCAAAAGAATCAAAACTAAGAACCAAAAAACTAGAACGTTTAGGCTGCAAAGGATTACTACCCAAAGGCAGTGGACCGTAGCTCTGTGATCACTCATAATCATCAGTTTATTTAGATAAGAGTACATGTGACCAAATGCGGACAGAGAGCATTAAAACAACATCTTGCTCCATATTCATTTTAGCATAACAAAGTCAGAATATTTCTTTTAAAAGTAGCATCTTTTTTAACTGTTTAAAAACCTGATTACCCAGTGAAAACCTGAAGCAGAAGCTCAGCCAATGGCAAAATAAAGAGTCTGGCATGTACAGTATGTTCCACTCTGGACTCCTGTTATGCAGCAGCATTTTTCTCTAGAGTGTATTTAGTGGTCCGGTGAGGTTAAATCCTATTTAGCTCTTCTGTGGCTGGGAAACTCACGAGTCATTCCGCAGTGTATCTTTTCACAATGCAGAGACAACAAATTGCCTTCCACCAAAAAATAAAAAGCCTTACCTGGAGGGTTTCTCTGCAGACATATGCTATCTGTTTCTCCTTTAATGGGCCCGTCACTGTGAAGAAGCGTTTGATTAATAACTCACAGACTCAAGTGAAGGATGAAAAAAAAGAGCCTGAGGCTCATTTCTAAAAACAGAGTGGAACTGGATCTTTAGAGTTCATTGTATCTAGTATGACACATGTTTTGCAGTAACAGTGCTATGGAGGAACTAAACATTATAAGAAAAAAATCAAAAATCTTAAAGGAAAATTATTCAAGAGAGAAATCATGGAAGCAATAGCTGTAATGTGAAGTGGTTTAAGGCCTTTAAAACCCCCCCAACACTCCCCAACTAGTGAATCTGTACAGCTGTAGATTTAATTCTACCCACCATTTAGCTGACACAATATCACTGCCTGATATTTGTACAGTCTTGGCCAAGACTGTGACTCTGAGGCCTCTGATACAGTAGTCTGCTGGTGAAACCCTTTATGGGAGGCTTTATTAAAGAGGTGGTATCATCATCATTTTGACCCATTTTTATAATTACTGAGTGTATCTGTAATTTTTTTTCCACCTAAAGTTATTTCTTAATTCATCTGTACAAAACCAGAATCCCCTCTGTCCTCTAGTAGCTGTTTTGGAAGTCATTAACATAATATATACATTTTGCATGAACACCTATTCTGATTGGTTGGAGTTGATGACTCATCTTCACCCCCAACCAATCAGAATAGGACCTAATGAATGACAGTACTCAGCTGGAAACACGGGAGTATACAGAAATGGAGGAGGACCTGCTGTTGCAGACTGGAGACTTCAACTGGAAGTTTCAGAGTGGTAGAATCATGTTTAAACTTTCTAACAAAGTAACAGCCATGTTTTTCCCCAAACGTGGCCGGAGGCAGCTAACTTATCTTTAGCACAGCTATCTTATCTTTAGCACAGCTATCTTTAGCTATCTCATCCTCACACATCTAATTTCATGGTTGAATGTGATGTCACACTGGGCACTGTTTCAACATCGCTTGCTCTCCAGGCCAGAGATTTAAAATTTTATATAATGTAATAACACCACAGAGACAGAGTTTAGTCATTTATTTTGTTTTCTATCATACCACCTCTTTAAAGGCACAAACCTCTTTTATAATGTCCGGAGACTCTAAACATAATACACTTAGCTGGCAACAATGATGTAAAGGGCTTGGTAGTGTCTTTAGACTCATTAAAGACCTTTAACAGGGTTGAATGGTCCTTTCTTTTCTATACTTAAGAAAATGGTGAGTGGGTAAAACTGCTGTATTCAGCCCTCGGAGCTGCTAGTAGACTAGTAAAAGAAGATCCAAATGAAAAGTGTAGTTAATTAATTTAACTGTAACAGTAATAGCGGTGTAATAGTAGCTTTGTTGCCATTTTTCTACTGTAGTTGTGTATTCATCTAACTGAAAAGCAGTTAGTTTGTTTACAGTTTGTTTGTATGTGCAAGAACATTGATGCAATATAAGATATATGGTGCCTATGAAAAGTATTTACCCCCTGGATGTTTTACCCTTTTATTGATTTTATAAATCAGTCATGGTCAATATAATTTGGCTTTTTTGACAAAAAATTACTAAAAACTCTTTATTGTCAAAGTGAAAACAGGTTTCTACAAATTAAATAAGAAACACATTTTATAGTCACTGTACGCTCAGAATTATGGGGAAAAAAAAAAAAGATTTACGTTTGTACCATGGTAAATATCCTGAAGTGACCCTCCACCGCAGTACTCCATGCAGATCCACAGCTTGGTGTTCCTGGAGACACACACATTTTATTTTGGTATTTACTCTGCTTATTCTTCGGGAGTAGTTTGGCAGGAATGTGAAAAGCAACAGTGAGACATTCATGAAAATTCCCAGAAGAACACACTCCCTAATGGTAAAAATAATGCATTAATACCCACAAAAACATATATTGACCAGCTGCTGTACTGGTCATTCTAAACTAGAATGAGTGGGAGAGGAATCCAGCAGCAGTGTGGGGAAAATTCCACATATTTAAGTCCATCAACAATCCCAGGAATTCTACACATCTGAAGTGGACAGAATGAACACACACAGTACCTGTGGTAGCTGCCAAAGAAGGCCACGATATTTTTGTGCTTGCACTCCTTCATCATCGTCATCTCCTGCTGGATAGATGTGATGTCATCACCTGAACAGACAGACAGCGAGAGAGTGAGCGGTTTCCCAATTCACATAACTAGAAGGACAATAACAGACCAATAAACCAGAGGGTTAGACTAGCGGGAAGGCTAGTATACGAGTTTGATATATTCATTTAATATCAGAAAAACTGGTGTATTTGGCTTTGTTATACAAAGGAGTGTGGTGGTGCACTGCAGGTAATCAGTATTAAATTACTTTCCATACATTAAAGACATTTAGTGCAACTTTCTGCCTGCTGAAACAATATTCAATGCTCATACGTAGGAGGAGTTATTAGGTGCTGTAACTGTTCCTCTTGCACCACCTGTAAAGTTATCCCTTGTTATTGTTATTCCAGTGTAAGTGATATGGGACAACTCCACAGTTTTCACTCAGAATAAGGACGGTGGATTTTGTCCCCCGATATCCTACAATCACTTTAGGAAGGATCTCATCATGGCCATTATGAACAGAAATGATTATTACAACACCCAGTGAACTCTTACAGTATACATACGAGCATGCTAGTACTGTTTTAAGACAGAGTGAGATCTGTGGGGACTGTTTTGACCTGACAGTCTCTCCCTCACAGAAGTGAGCTGTTGTCTGAGACAGGCCGATATCACACAGTGTATCAGCCTATAACTTCTGCTTTGCCAGTAGTAAGCATGTTGTGTCAAGTTTGAACTGGTAACGTACCAGGGTCCAGCTTGACAATCTTGATGGCTGCCAGTTCAGATGTCCTGATGTTACGAGCCTGAATGAATAAAAAATATATCAACATCTATATAACAAATAAAAATAAACAGAAACCTCATGTAAAGTCAAGCTAGAACCATTCTATATTTGATAGTAGAGGACACTGTATACACATACACAAAACTGTACACAAAGTGACATCACCTACAGTATCACCTGGTGATACTGTAGATATTAGCTTCTAAAAGATACGAGGACTGACCTTTCTGACCTGTCAGAGATTTTCAGTTATTTCTACTTGTGCAGTAAGTGTTGTTGCATTCTCATTTATTGTAATTTCATAACAACAAATATCTGAAGAGCTGAGTAGTGTGTGATGGAACGTAGTGGAGCAGGGAGAGGGAGTGGTGAGCGGAGCAGAGTGGAGTTGGAGTTTCATGCTACGCTAGCTTAAGTTACGTGCTGTAGCTTTAAGTACAAAATCTGAAACATCACACACATATTTAAGCACCTTCCCCAGAACCACTCCACTTCCTTAATCACAAGCAGTATCACTTCATCAACATCCAGACTGCATCTGATTCGAAATGCACCCTTCTGCTCAGCAGCCAATGGCGACAAGTATTTGGTGAAGCAAAATGCTGTTTAGCAAAGTGGATGGGTGTATTATTGGTATTTGTCTTTGATACATAATATTATTTTGCCCCATGCAAAATGACTTACCACTGGTCTAATGTGTAGCATACCTCTTTTGGAAGCCAACAGAGGTTTTATTTAAGCTCCTTGGGTCATGGTCTCTCTAAGCAACCTCTGATCAAACAGCAGCGCTCATGTAACACACGTCATATGCGTACCCTTCCTGAGGTAGAGCGCTCTTTACCCGAGCGGTGGCATATTACGTGTTGCACAAAAATGAGAAGTGGCTTTGTATTACATCATGCACACTATGTATATACAAACCAAACCATCAATAGGTGCTAATATGTGCAAACACACACAAACGTGCATGTAGTCATGAACATGCACTTAGAAACACATCCTTAGTATACTTAATCATGACAAAACAGGAAAGTACAGAGATACACAAATATTGTTGCATGAAGTCCATTGTTAGTTCATCTATCATTCACTACATTTTTCAAACGTCTAAAATCATTAAGTATTGGTTGGCACTCCCTGCTCCACTATGACCCGGGCAAATAGCCAGCTGCTCAGTATACGATCCTGATGTCACACCTAGGCTTTAACCTGGTATTGATTCTGCAGCACAGGATAACAATATTGGCACTGGGAACTCATTCCAACTGGCAGTGGCAAGCCTCTGAGCATCGTCACTTACCACAGACTTTGACTGTGCCATTAAAAGCTAGTTTGTTGTAGGATGTAAAGGTTATGGGTTGCAAAACACATTTCAGTTACAATCTGGGACCTGTGAAAATCCACAGCAGATTAATTTGGCTTGTCTTCTGTTCAAGATGTATGGCTCTGGAACATATTCTATAAGTTTCTTATTCAAATTCCATGAAAAGACCCAAATCAACAATGTCTTTGTCCATCACTGAGTTCCCAGCCCAGTGTTTCCTGCTAGTGATGTAAAACTTCGAGAACAGCTCATTTAAAACATGCTATGTAATTTCCCTAAACAGATGAAGTTTTTAAGCAAATGAAAACAGTTATTTCTGGGAACATCAGTCATCCCAGTCACGGATGTCAGATCGACTGCTTTTCACTTTGGCCATCCACAAACGAGGTGGCAACCAATGGGATAAGCATTCACCTCAGCACAACCTGCTGCTCAGCTGCGTTCACTTCCTGTTTTCTTTCCTGTTCTACCACAGGGCTTCCTGTGACTACAATGATAGTAACGTTTGTGAAATGGTTTTTACATAGCCAAGCCTGAAATAACAGTCGCTTACACTTATATACGAATGGGTGGGAGGGAGCAGAAACTTCACAGCACTTTGATCAGGCACCCAAATGTTGTCTGAGGCAGAAAAAATAAACGATCTTTGGCCAAACTGTAATGTTTTCATAATGAGACCACACCATTCCTATTGAATGCAGTTGTAGAGTATGGGGCATGACTGACCTCTGAAGAAACTCAACAACACTGGTTGTTGATGCAAGGTGACTAGTGGCCGTGTGACTAGTTAGCTTGTTATTGTGCACTCTTTAAAGGTGCAATACACACCATCTGATAAATCAAGTAAAATTCTGCCTACAGCCCTTCTGTTGTTATTCCAGCTTCTCTACCCTGTGTTGTCAAAATACAGCCTGTAAATTAGTCCCACCTGCCACCTAGCCAAGGTTATAAGGAGTGTTTTTCAAACCGTGAGTAGTCAACTCAAACAGCAGCCATGGAGGACCTCTTGGCAGCTACAAGTCCAAAACAGCGGCTGCCAGACTGAAGAGGTCATGTTCTTTTTACACAGAGAGAGCGGAATGGAGAAAGAGCAAAAACCGGGGTTTGGCTTGTTGAGATTTTTGAGGGTTAAAAGCAGCCAAAGGACTCAGATTTGATTCAGATGTGGTGTTCTTCCTTCTGGATGTGTTAGCATCTAAAGCTAGCGTGTTTCTTTTGATAACAATGGTGACCTAGCATGGTCATGATTTTACCTATGTATTTAACTATTAAGGGAATAGTTCATGGCCTGTGTGGCGTTAATGCTTTATGATACACTAGCAGTATTGGCAGTGTTATACTGGAATGACTTTGACTTGTCAACCAGCTAATGCTAGCTTTGGACTGGAGGCTGGCTCTTGTATTGTACAGTTTGTCAAAGAGTAGCCCAATATGAGAGTAGTTTATGATCTGAGCTGCTGCGGCCCGGGTTCGAGTCAGGGTTGCGTCAGGAAGGGCATCCGGTGTAAAACAAGTGCCAAATGTCAACATGCGTGCCGTCAGTGTGACGATTTGCTGTGGCGACCCTTAAAATGGGAAAAGCCGAAAGTGACTTTCTTATTATTAAAGCAAGAATATGTTACTTTAAAAAAAAGAAGCTAATGATTCTTTTTATAAAATGAACAAAGACATACAGCCGTAACATAGGCATAATGACAATGCCAACAAACTGACATTTAGCAGGTACAGTTTGCCACGTTCATTGGGTTAACATGCTAACATTTCAAAATTAGCACTAAACACAAAAAAACAGCACGGTGGCACAGTGGTTAGCGCCGTTGCCTCACAGCAAGAAGGTTCCGGGGTCGGGCCCCACCTGGGACCTTTCTGTGTGGAGTTTGCATGTTCTCCCTGTGCTTGTGTGGGTTTTCTCCGGGTACTCCGGCTTCCTCCCACAGTCCCAAGACATGCAGCTTAGGTTGATTGGTGACTCTAAATTGCCCGTGTGTGTGTGTGGTTGTTCATTTATGGATTGGCGACCTGTCCAGGGTGTACCCCGCCTTTGCCCGATTGTCGGCCGGGATTGGCTCCGGCCCCCCCGTTCAGGGACTAAGCGGTAGAAAATGAATGAATGAACAAAGAAACAGCTGAGGATGATGAGAATGTCAGTTTTGCAGGTATTATTACAAGTCATCCTATGGGAAACAAGAACTTCTGTAACAAATTTCATGGCATTCCATCCAGTAGATGCCAAGACATTTCACTAACATAGGAATGTAAACATCATGATGACACTAGAGGGAAAATCTGGGGATTACCAAAGTATTCCTACCAAATTTGACAGCAATCTAATATGGCAACGTAGTAGCAATGTTGTTTCCTGAATTCATCTCCAGTTCACGTCCTTCAAGATTGCAACACTGTTAAACATGTAAAATATGTCTCAGCAGAAGTGCAAATTTATGGCCTAGTACTTAATCTGGGTTTCAGTAAAGGTTTGCAGCTTCAGCTACTGTTACATCTTCACATCCAGCTCCTAGCCCTTTGCTTTCTCTCAGTTTTATTTAAAAATCATCAGCCTCTTTTCAGCCTCCAAGATCCATCTCAGCTAAAATCCCAATGAAGAATCTAAATGTATAATAAATTGTTTAGGGTGCCACCAACAAAGCAGTACAAAGCAGGCTGATAGGTGTAAAGATGATCGTTTCGGTCCTCGTTAGTATAGTGGTCAGTATCTCTGCCAGTCCTACAGAAGGCTGGGGTTTGATTCCCCAACGGGGAGTCCTTTTGCCAGTTCTCTCGGGGTGGCTGTGGCTCAGGAGATAGAGCGGGTCATCTCCTAGTTGGAAGATTAGCAGTTCGATTCAAGGCTCAAGTCTATCTTCAGTGTGTGTTAAGCTGCTTCTTTCAGTATCATTTCATCAAAATCACAGAACAAAGGTTTCTCTCAGGAGCCTCTTATTGTTACTAACATTCCAAAGTTATACAGGAAGAGATCAGTTATAAAGGAGGCAGCGCTGACCTCACCACTTACACTTGACATTTACAGTAAAACTCAGGCCAGTGTAGGGTTGTATGCTGGGAAGAGATCCATGTAATAAATTTAGAAGAAGTGAAAAAAGATTAAATATGTAAATAAAAACTAAAGCTCCAATAATTGGTTTAATCAGTCATGCAGTGTGGAGGCTCAAACACACCCCTGTAACCACTAGAAGATGTTAAACATCAAGAGAAGATGCTTAAATGTTTACGGTATTTCACTGCTATGTACTTGTACATGTGTAATGACAATAAAGTTGAATCTAATCTAGGCTTAAATATACAGGCTCATCATTACTTTAAGAGGAATAGCTGTACTCCTAGCACATAATCTAATGAATATGAAAATATACCACTGTCAATTAGCTACAGTTCTGTGTCAAAATCACATTATTATAAAGGTGAGAAATCTTGGCAGAAGGGTGATATATTCTTCTGCCAGTCTACAGGCACTGTTGACTGAATGGGGCTTCTTAGTGGGGCCTACCATAGACTTTGGGGTGACCCTGCCAAACCTTTTAATCAGTAAAAAGCTACAAGTCAAAGACACAGAAGGGTATGAATGATGATTAAGAAGAGGATGACACACGAGCTCTGAGCTAAGTTTCCTCTGAATAATAGCAGTGTAATGAGAGTCCAGTGAAAGCCCACACAGTCACATGTCCAGAGTTTTCACCCTTGACTACTGCTGTTGCAGCTCTACCAAACCCACTAACAGCAGAAGTGGGAGGCAATAACGTGCTATTGTCCGTTCCTGTATGTAGTACTGCTCCCATTCACAGCAGTCACACAGGCTACAATACGTCCAAATATTACACAAATGTGGTACAGAACAACAATGCCAACGTCAGCTTTGATATCCACATATCTCAGTCCAAGATCAAAATAAAACCATTTTAAATTCATGACATAAGTTAATAGGCCACACCAAATCCAGTTTATCAATCCCTGCGCACGGATTTTCATCTAAAGTTCTTCTGCCACATGACCCCTCGGGGGCTCCGCAGTAACTCAATTCACATCAACAGTAAATGCAAATAACTCTGGTCTTCTGGCAGGGCTTTGAAGCCAAACAGGCCATTCAAAAGACCCTTTTCTTTATCCATTTCTGCTGCTTCATCACTTCCCGATTTCCCAAACTACGGAGCGGGCTAATAGTCCCAATTCTGACAGCCGTAATATATTTATTTTTACCCTCAGGATAGTGAATGCTGGACCTGAATTCATCAGGATGACATGCCACATTAATGTAAGCACTGCTCCTGTGTCTGCTGGATGTGTAAATAAACAACTGTTGGCATTTTCATAAGGCAATCAAAGTTGTGTTTGCAGTTCATTTCAATGCCCCCAAGGGGCCAAAAAAACCTGTTAATGCAGATTGTCAAGAGTACTATCACCAATACATCAGTGCAGTCTGTAACACTGTAGGACTCATCAGACTGACATCTTAAAAACAGCATTCAAATTGCTGCAGCACAACCAGAGATACCAGTCTCTCGTATGCATTCACTTTTCTCTTACTTGTGTTTTCTCCTTGTTTCTTAGTCTTGCCCATGTAGAATGCAGGAAAAAGATGCAAGATGAGAGGAATCAAGAAAACATTTTTAGAAGGTAAATCCCAGTTACTCTATTTTATCATTCCTTGCTACTCAATCGACCTGCAGGTCATTCTGGTCTGCCATCTTGAAGGACGTCCCAAAGCTCTTACTTCCACTCTGAGGAGCCATGAGTGAGGACACATGAGAGCATCCTTTGCTTTTATGATGCTTAAAAACCAGGTCTCTAAAGATTTTTTCTTCTCTCCTTCCATCGTTAGCCAGATTTATACTTCTGCATCCTTGCACATCGGTGGTTTAACTATCGACGGTGCAGCCAGCAGGTCTCAGTGGCCCATGTTTTGATGTTGCCTATTGCAGGAGACCCTCCATGACTACTAATTATATCATGCAGTGTTCAAGCTGATGCTTCATTGACAGCCAAATGCCAAGTTATGACACTTAATGTGATAGCTATATATAAACAACACTCATGGTTTTGAATCATAGCCTATTTTTATGTGGTGTTTTTTTGTTGTTGATGAGCACAAAGCCCGTATAATGAACTTCTAATGGGTAAGTACAGGCTTCTCTCTGTTATGAGGTGGGATCAGGGATTTAAATCTACAGTATGTTGGAAAATGCGCACCTACCGTAATCTGTGTCGGTGATAACATTTTGGCTAGTGCCATTATGTATGTTGAATTCTATTATCATACTGTGGAGATATAAGAGTTGCTGTGCTTTTCTTGATGACTTTGTTCTATGCTTATCGACACACAGCGTAAACTACATTGAGCTGAACTGTTACTGTAGACTGGCTGAATACTTCAGATGTTTGATAGTTGGAGAAATTAGGCTGTGGTGGTTAGGGTCCAAGGTAGGCTGTAGCCTAGATTAGCTGCTGTCTGTGGCACTGATCAAAGGCCAGTTTTGCATAGTAAGCCTCTCCATGCAATTGTCTGGAGTGGTTGTGTGTTTGTGCATGCACGTGTCCAGGAACATGCATGCGCATTTGTGATGGGGGTAGGACACAGAAAATAAATTAGCACTGGGGCCCATTACACTTACTGTATGTTACGCCACTGCTGCACATATGGGAGACAGTTGCATAGCTGCTGCATGTGTACTTTTGTGAATGTTAACACTCTGACTAGGAGGTGCTCAAACAGCAAAATAGGCAGTCCCCAACAAATGGACTCTTTCCTCCTGGTGTTGTAGGAAATTACTGAGCCGTTACTTCTTAAAGTTTATAACTCTGACCCATTATGATGGGTCCTTCAGCACAAACAAAAAGAACGCAGAAGTCCTGATGCCACTCTGGGCTAGCTGCTTTTATTTATTTATTCAATGCTAGCTCTCATGGAGGGTTTCTTTCTCTCTTTTTTTCTGGAAAAACTTAAACATATCCCTGGAGCTTGCTATCTGTTCAAATAAATGATTATCTACTAGAGCAATTGCTATTAGAATTTGAACCCTTCATGATTTTAAGTGTTAAATGACAATAATCTGTAAGCACTGAAAAGAAAGACACTGCATGAAGATTGGCCAGCACAGCACTGGAACCTTTCTCTCTGATCCATGATACTCTCTCTGTCGTATTTCCAACTCTTAATATCTGTGGTCTAAAAACATCTACTCTGCTCTGTCCTCTCTGACCCGCTACTGTTAGAACTGGACTAAACATCCCTGAACATCACTATCAAGAAAAATGAAATTAATTGCATGACACACTGTTGAACAAGGTTATGTCTCAAGGCTTTTGGTCTTTAGTGAGATTACTACAACAACCTCTGCTCCTATAAATTACATTCATATACAGCTCATTTGTAATAAGAAAAGAAATGTCGCCTAATCACATCCACATTACCGTTTCTATTCATGTAATGGGAATATGCTGGTTATTTGGCAGGGCATAAATACAGGCACCTTGAATGTATCAGTAAAACGTTCAGAAAACATTTGTTTTTCCCCCAGAGTATCAGATCTTGCAGTAGCCAGTTAAAGACAAAGCACACACAACACAAACAAAAGTGAAAGTACAAACATGAATGGAAATCCAAAATCTAGAAAAGTAACAAATACCAGAAAACATGCAAACAGGTAAAACTCACACGATAACAGAAGTGCTCAGGGATGTTGGCTCCGTTATTTACCCTAAGCAGCTCCTGTTGACTCTGCTGCTGTTAAAGAATTAAGAAAATAAGCCTAGAAGAAGAAAGTAATTTCTAGGAGACGGGGTTAGATTTCAAATGTCAGTGTTGCGTTGAGTTTTTCTTACTTCTGAAACAGAACCCAGAAGGAATAATTCTCTCTTTGGCTCTGCCTGGCTTATGTGCCACAGACAGGCCATGAAAGTTGAAGCTGGACGAACACGTTATTTTTAAGAAATTTGTTTATAGTCACCAAACAAAAGTTTATACCTCACTCACATGGTGCGTACTTCAAGATGTTTAGTTTATTTTATAAAATCTACAGGGTAGAAAAAAATCTGGTGGTATGGGGGCCCAAAGCTCTTTTATGGCCCCATGACCTCCAAATGCTTTATTCTGGCTATGTTGTGTGGGGTTTAAAAAAAGAAACAATACAAATTCTTGTGCATCCTGCAGAATCAACACAAGACAGGGGGAACATCCTGCCACCCAAATCGTCAAATGAAGAAAGGATGTGTGGCACTTTCTTATGCTCAACACGCTCCCATGAGTCGGTATGAATTTGTCCAGTGCTCCCATACTGTCTCTACTGGGATACCTGTCCCAGTAACATTAAGTGCCTTGATATTTTGGTTCTGCTGCTAGCCAAGAACAAACTCTCGTATTTGTTGTTTTATCTATAAACTGCGTATTTTTCTGAAACTTTGTCATGATATATATAAATGGTGTAGTACAAAAATTCTGCGTAACCCTTATGTAAATAATATAAACCTGTGGCACCACTGATACAACAGCCTGACAAAGAAATCTGTAAAATACCTGCCTAATAATAAAGGATACTGGGTTTCATAATGGGTTGAATGGCTTTATTGTAGTGACAATGGCAAGCTGGCACTCACACACATTCATCTCCTTCATAAAGACTATGTTTCCTAGACACCCCTGAGCTTCCCTCACTTGATTTTTTTTAAAACATGAACATCATTTTGACTTCGTGTCCTTGGTGGATGTGGATCTGCTTCTTAGCCCTGACAGAGACCATCTCGCACTGAGCTTGTAACAGACCCTTCACCAGAAAGAGTTTCACCTTGATAACAGGAAGTGAAGCAGCCTGTGTTGAATCTCTGTTCTTCAACTAACACGTCCTGCTGGAGTTTTGGTGCGTGTGTCACCGCCGCAGTCAAAGCACAAGGAAATGTTCACACTCACCTTGAACACATCTCCATAGGTGCCGCACCCAATCCGGTGAATTAATTCGTAATCCTGCAAAGGGTCCAGGAAAGATACCCCTATCCTCTCCATGTCTGGAGACACCTTTGGGTGCTGTCAGTGAGCCTGGCGGGCTTTCTACTCACGCATCCCAGCGGTTGTAGTCGGAGGAGAAAGCGCCAGCAGCAAACGACCCCCCTCTGACCGCCTCGTTAATGGAAACTAATTGGAGCTGACTAATTTCTGGCGTGTCGACCAGAGACGTGGACGCGCTGGTCGCTGACGGGACTAACAGATCCACACAACTCCGCGCTCACGGACACACGACAGGCGTCTGAGTGCAAATAGTGACGAGCAGCGCTGGAGTCAAATCACGCATGAGCGAAGACACACAAAAAAATCTGTCGAAGTGTGGGCTGTCTGTGTGGCACAAAGCAAAAACAGCTAAATACTGAGTCCAAATTAACCTATCAAGTTTATGAGGTAGTACTGTGACTACATTTTTACTTAAAGTTGATTTTAATAGATAAACCTGTCACCTCATACTAATATCTCACAAAACACTCAATACTCGTCTGAGAAAGGCACATTTGTGGCTTATTGAATAATTTTACGTACAATCTGTTTTTATTTTAAAAGTCACAATTTTGAATTGAAGTGAATTTAGAGTAATTAATTTAAAGATAGTGACTTGCTACTTATCATCTAAACTATGATCTAAAATGTAAAGCTTGAAGGCTTAAGACGTTCCTTTTTGATAAATCTTATAGTTAGGGTTGGATCAGGTGACTCTGAGCCTTCCCTTAGTTATGCTGCTATAGGCCCAGACTGCTGGGGGGCCCCATGATGCTCTGAGTTCCTCTTCTCTCTCCATGCATCTATATTTCACCACTATGTGTCACTAACTGAGTCTCCTCTCTCTCCCTGTACCTTTCTGCAGGTATCCACATCAACCTGACCAGTGTTTGATTGTTTGTTGTGTCTTGTTGCTTTTCTTCTTTTGTCTCTCCTCTATCCACTCACCCCAACCGGTCAAGGCAGAAGGCCGCCTACCAAGAGCCGGGGTCTGTCGGAGGTTTCTTCCATTAAAGGGAGTTTTTCCTCCCCACTGTTGCCAAGTGTTGCTCAAGGGGGATTTGTTGGGTTTTTTCCTCTATAATAATAATAGTACAATCTAGACCTTACTTTGTAAAGTGTCTTGAGATGATTTTTGTCAATCGGCGCTATACAAATAAAACAAATTAACATTTTTGAAGTTCATATCCTTTATTTTTTTTGCCTTGTGGTGAGAATGGGGTCCATGTTTCTGTTTCATCATTTCACATTCATGTCCCATGTTCTTTTGAATTTGTTTTATCTTGGTTATGTTTTGCTTTGTGTTATGCCCATACTGATCCATGACAAACCAAATTCTGCAGCATACATATTCCATTCACATTGGACTGATTCACACAAAACTGTTGTCACTGTTTTTTTGTTTCGTTTGCTTTTAAAGTGTGCAGTATGTACACTGTTCAACTCAGTCACCTGCGAACCTGTGCTCCGATATAAAACACATCAGACCTCGCCACATTCTGTGTTCATCAGTTCTTTATTACTTGCAGATACAAAACAAGAACAAAACCACAAGTCATCAAATAAAACACATCAGGGCCACCTAATGTGGCTCCATCTCAACAGTGCATGGTCTTCCTGGTCTTCTCTAACCATCCGAAATAGGCCTAGCTCAGCTATTCTCAAAATTAAAGGCCGCCTACTTTAAAAACGAACAAAGGCAAAATAAGGCAACATAGAGCTAGCAAAAAAGAAGCTGTCGTTAGAGAAGAAGTGGACACTGTTACACAGTAACTATCCTAAATTAATTACTTCCAAGGCTTCAGTCATGAACAAGTTCCTAATGGTACAAGTCGATATTTATACATTTGTATATTAAATTCTGGTCATCCTCATTACTTTGGCCTGAAACATCCACATGTAAGTCATACTGTGCAATCGGCTGCCAATGAAAACAAATTAATGATGAGTGAAGGTTACAATCTATGAAAGCAGGAATTTTTTTAAAAACAGAATGAAACTTTCTTCAGTTCAAACCTGATATGTGACGTTAAACTCAAGATTATCTGTGAAAGTTGAATATATTGCTAGGAACTATGACAATATTGACTTAAAAAGACCTCTGGCTGAAAACACTGATATAAAGTCTCACAAACAAAAGCAAGGTTAATCGAGGGTTCGTGTTGCTGTTCACAGTATGTCATACAGATCTCCAAACTCCTCCACAACAATCAACGTGTCTAGAGCGACTTGCGCTGCCGCTTCATGAAGGACATGGAGTAATCCCCGGCTGGTGTGCTCTTCTGTCTCTTCATCTGGACCTGTGACTGGGCGGTGAGCTGCAGCTTGATAGCACTGGAGTTCACCTTGGCTGCACACAGCAGCTCCTTCATCCCCTTCATCTTCTCACTCTGAAAGATGACGACTGGTCCGGGCGGGGAAGGGGACACCTGCTGCTGGGATGAAGGTGAGGATGCAGAGTCCAGGCTAGGGGACTGAGGTTTTCCCTCAGCATCTCCCCGCAGGCCCTGGGAGGAGCGGCGGCGGCCCCCTCCCTCTCCCACCTTCTTGGGCTGAGATGCTGCTGCTGGCTGGGTGGATGGGGAAGTAGGAGCAGCAGGAGGAGGAGAGTTCTGTTCCTCCAGCTTAGATTCTCTCCTGGGTCCTCGTCTGCGGCCCTCCCGGGGGTCATCGCTAGACTGGTCATCATCATCCTGGGTCTCTGAGTCTTTGGTGATGATCGACACCCTCTGACGCACCTTTGGAATCAGAACACAAACCTGTTTTTAGCTATAAAGCACAGTCATGCATGAAAACAACATCAGCTCTGATTCCTGCACACATGTATGTAGTCTCTTTGATGTTCAAAGGCAGTACTATCCTGGGTTTGTCACCTGAGCATCAAAGCGGCTCAGAGACTGAACCAGGTAGGTGGCCCAGCCCACATGAAGGACCGGTGTGGGACTGCCCTCCTCCCATTTGCAGATGCCATCATAAAAACGGAGCAGGTGGGCAAAGCATTCTGGGTCCTGGAGTGCTGAGAAGGCTGCTGCCTGTTTGGGGTGCTCCTGGAAGAGAGGAGAGGTGGTGTGGGGTGGTGTGGAGAGGGTAAAGAAACACAGAAGAGCAAAGGGAAGGCAGGAAAGCTTGAAATGAGTTGAAAAAATGAAAATGAAATTTAGTACACTGGTATAAATTGCACTAATGTTGGTTCTGCATCAACATTAAATGTTTAAAAATGGTGTCTTTTCATAAAAAACGAATTAAAACCAAACTGAAACCACATTTCCACCGGGTGTTTACATGTGATCTATATATTATACACAACTTTTCTAGATTACAGAAACCCTCAGTGCAAGTGTGCTCTCATATAATAGGACCAGATGTCAGCATGGTGAAAATTACATCGGCAAATATTTAGGTACCTAATTTCTTTCTTTCTTTTTACATTAATTCTTTATGATTTTATATGACTATGTGCCAACTAACAGATCACAATAAATCACAAGCTAAAGAAAAAAATTAATAAATTCAATTCAAGTTGACTGTCAAAAAGCTCAAACAAAGAATAGCCAGTGTAGCAGCATCATTTCATCTCTGCAAGGTCCGCCTACCTAATCAGCACTGAACAAGCAATTAACTAAATCAGTCACTGTTTGTATGAGGGTGAGCGGAGAGTGTCTAGTCAACAATAACAATGCTCCTTAATCACATGTACAACAACATCTGCTGTATGAGCAGTCTATCGAACAGCTGTTGAACAAGCAGAACACAGCCCTCGGTCAACTTGCTCATGGGGTTTTTCCAATTATAGGAACCTACCAAAATATGTTGAGCAAAGTAACACTCACCACAGGTTCTGTGTTTGTCTCCCACTGCCCTTGGCCCACATTGGACGTGTGTTCCAGGAGATTTTGGCACCTCTCAGGTTCCAGAAAGGCAAGAGGGGAGGGGGTCGGTCGCCCGTGATCGGTCAAATGTTCATGTCTTTACACTTCAACTACTAGCATTACAAGCACAGTGTGTAAACACACTTGTGGTTTAGAGGTAAAGGGATCAAGGACCAACAATCGTTGGCTTAGAGGTAAAACAGGGTCTTCAATGAGTGGACCGCAGGCAAAGCGGTGAGGACATCACATTTCTGCAGGCTTGTGTTCAACAGCTGTTCAATAAACTACTCATACAGTCTCTGATATTGGCTGATTGTTATGCTATGGAGTGATCCGTCACACCCTCTGCTCAGCTGTGTGTGTGTGTGTGTGTGTGTGTGTGTGTGTGTGTGTGTGTGTGGGTGTGAGGAGCACAGCCCCTCCCTCCTCTAAAACAGAGGTCCACATCAACCTGTGAGGATATGCCAGGTGACGGTTAAGGGAAGCGTGGGGAGTACCACTCGTTAGGTTCTGATGGTGGAAACGCAGCATCAAGTCCCCGTTTTACATCTAAACCAGTGAGTGCATTTTTACACACTGGTCATGTAATGCTATATTTGAGATGTGAGCGCACTACTGTTTAACTAATCAGGTGTGAAAGCCCTGCAAGCACCAACCTCCATCAGGCGTGAAAGCCCTGCAAGCACCAACCTCCAGCTCCCCCCTTGTGTTCCTGAAACTTGATTTAGTACTACCTCCTGATGGGGGCCAAAACTAAGCTCCTGGAAGTCATTTCCCAAGTGGGAGAAGAGCAGTGGAACTTAAAGCAGAACCCAGGACATGGCTACAAGTTCTGCTACGGTTCGGTACGTTCCTACAGTAGAGAAGGCTTGATAAAGTCTTCATATTTGGGAAACTAGAACCAGAAGATGCTTGGCATGTTTGCTTTATAAGTGACTCCAGCAATTATTTAATTAAAAATAGCTGCCAAATTACTCATGTCAGTCATTCAAGTTTATTTACTGTGCATCTGTATACATGGAGAAATCTATTTCGCAGCTTGTACCTTAGAGGAAACCAACTGAATATGCAGCCTTACTTAAACTTTTTTTAAGTTACTGTATGTAACATTTCTGGATTAAGTCTTATAACTAGAGACATCCCGATCTGATACTATGTAAGTATTGGCGCAGATCCAGGCATTTTTCATGATGTTGGTGGTGATGGTGTCAGCCAGAAAAAAGCTGACCCAATTCCGATGTACATGTAAAACTACAGTCCGGTATTTGAACGGACTCGGTCGCATTTTTGAGAGGCGCATCACGCAGTGGATAAGCTGCTATATTAATCAGTCCAGCGGTCTATACTGCCTGCATGTGGGTTGGGATATCGCTTGCCTTTAAAGGCAACATAAAGCCTATTTTAGCTTCAAGTCTATGTAGCTATAGTAAGTTTTCTGCTTTTGTCTGGGAATACTCACCTTGTCAGGTCCTTCTCCTCCCTCCCCTCCCTCCCCAGGACTCTCTGCAGCAGCAGAGGTCTCCTTTAGCAAAGTGGGGATAACATCATTTGCAATGTCAAAGAACTCTTTGTAGATCTCCTCATCCTCACGGAAATAGTTATAGCTGCAGGCAATGAAAAGAAAGACTTTTAATAAGGAAATCAGCAGATAATCTACAAGACACACCAGAAAAGTCAGATTTTTATACATCTCTGGATAAGACATCACAATGAGGTTCAGATTGATAGATTTTGGTGATCAGAGGAAAACCTGTAAATGTGGAGCTGTGACATGATGCAGTAATTACATCAAACCGGACATGACAAGTTAACTGTGCTGCACTACCTACAAAGAATACACTGCTATGACTATGAATGTGCACACACACATTTCCCACTTGTAGATGGTACAGAGGGAAAAGCATGTCAACTTGAAGAACAATGGGGAGCAGGAAAAGGAAGCTGATGGATGGGGAGGGAATGTGTGATGTGGTGCTGGTATTTTTAGCTGCAGCTCATGAACCATGTGTTTAAGGGGGAGGACAGGGCATGAGGATGCTGAGCTGGACACTTCCTGGCTCAACCACCACACCCCATCCGTCTAACTGGGACTGGGCTTCACTGTGTGGATATGTCAGAACAAAACCATCATGTCTCAACCAGAGCTCAAACTCTATTGTCACATCACGCCGGTTCCATACTTATTTTGTGTAAAATATGTTTTGTCTACCTCAACATTGTTTTTGATATAGTCTCAAAAGAAGTGGGGACAGACAGTTGTGTACTTACTGCCATCTTGTGTTCATTTGGAGAACACAGAATCTGCAGGCTAAGAAAATATGACATAGTACAGGATGCCCAGATGAAGTAAATTTAGACTCTGGGGGCTTTTACTGACACCACAACAGGAATGTTGGGTGAAACACTGTTTGGGAACAACATGCAGCACTGTGTGGTGTTAAAAGGGCACTGCACACCAACATGAAAACATCATCCCAACAGTGAAGTAAAGTGGAGGGAGCATCATGACTTGGGGCTGCTTTGCTGTCTCTAGGCCTGGTTTGCTGCCAATAAGAAGGGGTTAAATAAACCGCAAAATTTATCAAGGAATCCTACAGGAGAGTGTATGGGTGGTTGTTTGCCACCTGTAAGGTTCCATACACTGACAATGACCCTAAACACTACAGTAAACCTAGCACAGAATGACATCATACAGAGAAAAGTCACCCTTTGGAGTGGCCGGTCAGAGCCCAGGCCCAGTACACATCATATGGAATGAACTCACAGACACATTCACACACACAAACATCCTAACAGCTCTGTGAGTAATAATGGTTCCTTGTGAATGTTGTGCAGCTCTGATCTGAAGTTACTGCTGTCAAAGGGCGTTCAACCAGTTATTAAATCTAAGGGTCTGCTTAGTCTTTCCACCAGCACTGTGATACTTTAATGGGTGTGTTTAAAAAGGACACGAAAGATTATAATCGTTTGTGTGCAGTTAGCTTAACCCTGCTATGTCTGTTTATATTCATGAGCCAGATGAAGATCAGATCACACTGTAATCAACTACTGCTGAAAACCATGTCATTCCAAAGGGTTCACACACTTTTTCTTGCCACCCTATGTTGTGATGTACATGTATGTTTTTGCTGTTAGCATTCAAGTAGCACCATTCTGAGTTAAAACCCTTTGAAAACTGAGAATATTTTGTACTCTTCTTCCCAGTTAGAACATATGACCTCATGAGTTCCATTTGAAGGCAGAATAAATACATTAATCACAGACATTAGCTCTTACTGTATGCACTTCACTCCAAAGAATTAACCTGATATTTTAAAAAAGCGATCAACAATAAGAGCTAAAATAGCTTAGGTGTTAACTTGCTGTACTCTGCTGACTCATGCCACAATCAACAAGTAAATATAATCATTTTCTATCTGGCTAAACTTTTCATTACTGGGGTTCTGCCTGCAAGTGCAAATAGAGAAATCAATGCCGCTCGAAGCTCCCCGTGCCCTGTGGTGTGTGGACTCACTCCTGCATGACCTGAGCTGCCTCGGCCCAGGCCCCCAGAGCCTCCCGCACATCCCTGTGTCTATAGTGGAAACCGGCCAGGTACATGTAAGGGTAGATGTGCTCGTTGTTGTAGTGCTTCTGAGCAGAATTTACAGCCTGAGAGAGAGAGAGAAACATGATTTCTTTATTAAATCTTCCAGTCACAATTGTCATAATTTTCACAGTAGATGATGCCACATTTGACTCCAGTTAGCAACAGAAATGTACAGTGCTATCTTAAAGAATCTTACTGCTGTGTGATGTGGGGAACTTCTCTATATACTTACTTTAAGATGGATTTTCAAGGGGCTCTCCTTGCCTGGGATTGGATCCTGATCCTCAAGGTCTGCCAGAGTGCCCATGGCCATCGGATACCTTGTATACAACGCAGGATATAGACTTCAGAAAGTAAACAGGTGTACTATTTGCAGTGGACAAGCAATGTAGAGACTGTAAGAGTCTAGATATTTGATTCCTTACAAAACTTGCCAGCCAATTCTCACCTGTCCAGGTCGCCTCGTTCATATAGCAGCCACAGGAGCTTCTGTAAGCAGGAAAAAATAGAAAGATGTAAGGTAGATCTGAGAATTTGGTAGTGAAGGTCAAAGCTCTGAAACCTCACAATTATCATAAATTCTCAAATTGTGGCCATGAACTTAATTTACCATGACAGCAGAGAACCAGGTCCACCAGTTGTTCTAGCATTATTTTAGCATATTTCACTTGCCATTAATTCTGTTTGTTGTTAATGGAAACATAACACTTCCTCCATGTTTACCTGTTTTCTTGATTTCCACAGCATTAATTTGAACAGTACACCAGAGTCATGTTGTATTAACCGCATCTTTTATTCTCTAAAACAAATACTGCTGTCAGTTCCCTCTACTTTGCTGGGCTTTTACTGCTTTTAAGCTACTGTCCAATGAATCACTTCCAGCAGAGATGTTTCATAATTAAAGGCATCAGTTGGCTGGTTTTCTGGTAGGATTTTAATGTGAAACATCTGCAGACACTCGAGTTTTAGTGATTAATAAGAATGCAAAGCAGAAATGATTGAAAAGAATTGTTGGGTCAAAAGAGACAACAGGGAGGTGAACATGACATGACTCTAGTTGTACTGATGAAAATGTATATTACACATCAACTTCTAGCGGTGTTTCTGCTATACACACACACACACACTGTATATATGCTGCTTCAAAATTTTATGAGATATGACATTGCAGTCACACCCCTCTGCACAGGGCTCTTAATCTGAAACTACAGATGCAGGAAGTGGAAACACGTAATGATACCCAGCTGAGTCAAAAGGGAGACAGAAAGAAGAGGAAAAAGAAGGAGAGAGATGACGGTTGATAGATTTTACCATTTAACCCTAATAACCCCTCAGATGCAATTTGTCCAGATTCACTGGAAATTCACTCCCCTTACTCTTGGTTCCATATCTCTGGAAGTAACACGACTCATTGCCTTGTCATGGATCACATGTCAAAATAAACAGCATGACCGGCCGTTTCCAACGATGCTAATATACTTGCTAGTCTGTGCAGTAATCAGGTTTGGAAGAAAAACAAACAAACAAACAAACATTAAACTTCCACCAGCAATATCATATCAAATTATGGCAGCTTGGACAGTCCTGGAAAAACATTTAAAAACGGTGCTTCTGATATTTCTCTATAAAATGTCTAAATTCTGATTAGAGATTTCCTTTCATTATTCTGACAAATTTTTCAATCATTCTTCAATATAAAATACATTTCACACAGAGTTGAAAGTGAATTTTTTTTTTTTTTTTTTAATGTTACCCCTCCCAGATAAATTTTATCACTGCCACACATTAAGTCGTGGTGATGTTTGTGTTGGAAGAAAAATGTAAATGTCTTTGTTGTGAAACACAGGTACAAAATTAATTCAGCCCGAGTAAGTACGAGGACAGTACATTTCTGTCCGATATACTGCATGACAAATCAGAAGGATAACGCTAGGGCTGTAGCCAACTAAGCATTTTGTCAGTCGTATGTCAGCTGGCTCTTCAGCGCGACTATTCGTTCTTTTTCTTTCTTAATATATATATATATATATATATACACACAACGTCCTTTGCAACTTCTACAGCTGCCTCATTGAGAGCATCTTGAACAGCTGCATCACTGTCTGGTATGGCCGGGGCA